CAAGTGAGGGACTCATACACAAACATTACAAACCCTGCAAATATTTAGTGATGTTCAAGAAGGAAGCATCCGTTAAGGATGGAACTGGATGTAAATTGGTGTAAATTGTTAAAAAAAATAATTGATTAATTTAGTCCTGCCCTTCAGAGGCTAAAAAAGATATTAGCATGTAAAACAAAATAATAAAAATGTAAACATCCATCATCTTGCTCAAAAATATACCCCTGGCTCTTAATGCATCGTGTTGCATTCTTGAGCATTACCTTGCAAATACCTTTTTCTCTTTCCTCCTCAATATATTTTTCACTGTGTGAGAACATGTGGAGTGAGAGCGGAATGGCTTGTGGAACGTAGCAACAGTAACTAAGAGGGACAGGTCTTTGTAAAAAGTCAATCTTTGACTTTTTACAAAGTCTTTAAATCTTTGTGGACTCGGCTGGACTCGGATGTTAAGGACTCGGACTCAAGTCCGACTCGGCCCTCTTTGGACTCGGACTTGGACTCGGACCCAACTCTACTGTTTCCCCCAAGAGATCTCCTTATGTGTCCTCAGCAAAGTCCTCCCGGATTCCCCGTCCTCAGCCCTCGTCCCAAGGACCCAAGACCCCCAGTCCTCCCATCCACCCTGGACTGCCCCCCAAGGACATTGTGTTTCCCCCACCACCTCTGCCTTGTATGTTGTTTCTAATGTTTCACCCTAACCCGGTTATTGTTTATTCATGTATCCCTTTAGTTATGTTTGCTATGTTTTGTTGGTTTTTGTCCATGTCTCGTTCTGTCTTATCCCTTTGAGGAGCGTCTGGTAGCCGCTCCTTAAGGTGGGGGTTCTGTCATGTTCTGTTTGTGAGATAGTGGTTTTCTAACACCGACTCCCGTATAATGGAAATGTTATTCTGTTATAACACCGACTCCCGTATAATGGATATGTTATGGCGCCGTTTTATATATAAACAATATTTATATTTAATATCTATATATAAACAATATGAATGTTAGCCAGAGGAGAACTGGCCCCCGACTGAGCCTGGATTCTCCCAAGGTTTTTTTCTCCATCCAATCTGATCCAATCTGAGTTCTGGTTCCTTGCCACTGTTGCCTTGCTTTTGGCTTGCTTAGTTGGGGATATTTGATATTTAATATTTAAAAATATTATTGATCTGTGTTGTACTACTTTCATGTCATCACTGTGAAGCTGCTTTTATACAATCTGTATTGTGAAAAGCGCTATATAAATAAATAAATGTGAGACCACCCACTTGCTCATTCTCCGCTTAGATGCTGGGGACCCTTTGTTGGGGGGTCCAAAACATACAAATAGTTGATCGGCTTTATGCCACAGGGCAGCTCTTTGGACATAAGCATCAAGTACCATAACTGGGCATAGCAGATTGTTCTTTTCCTGGTCCGAATCTTGAAAAGGAGCAGGATAGAAGGCCTGCAATACTATAAATCTGGTCACATTAGTGGGGACCTTGGATGAAGGAATGCTTTAACCATGCAAGGAACAAATTCCAAGCACAAAAGTGATCCATTAAAAAGTTCTTAGCGGGCGGGATCGGTGTGTCTGCAATAGAAGAACATCACAGTGCTCACAGCCAGTGCCATCGAGTGTTGATGTGTCGAGTGTCAAGTGCTGTTGCTTACTCACCATAACTGAATATATAGTCAGATAATATATATGACGTCACCTGCCTCTGACATTCATGTGATTTTACATTTTATCCATTGGACTGATTTTACATTTGCTTCAAGACATCATCACGCAACGCGTTCCCTTAGCGTCTATCGACGCAGCTAGTTTTTAGAAGTGACTTAAAAGTGATCACGGAAGGGGCTATCCTAATTTCTAATGGTTGTTCCACAACCGTCGCCTGACCACAGAAAATGCTCTATCCCCTCTGAGTTTGAGTCTGGAATGTGGGACTAATAACAGGTTCTTGTCGCTTGATCTCAGACTTCTAAATGGTTATATGGTATATGGTTGCAGCAGTTCAGATAGATAGCTGGGGGGTTGGTTACGTAGAGTTTTATAAACAAATAAAAGGATTTTAAAATCAATTCTGAAATGAATGGGCAGCCAGTGAAGGGACCTCAAAATTGGGGTTATGGGTTATGGGCCGTATGGGCCATTTTACAGCTGTTAAAAAGGTATCTTGCAGCAGCATTTTGCACTAATTGAAGACGAGCAATTTGAGACTTTTAATGGTAGCCATCCTAAAAAGTATTTAAAAAATAAATAAATAAAAAGAGTCAAAAAAGAGTTACGCGATCCGTTTTCCCAGCGTTCATTAACAACCTTGCAACAGCATACAGTATGTTTGGCAGAATCAACATCCAGGATTTCCCTCGTTCCAGGCCTTTGTCATGAGATGAAGAGGGTGTTTGATTGAGTGCTTCACAGCCCAGGTGCTGGTGGAGTTACATCAATACAACCACTCGGTTACAGACCATGCAATCGATTTGCACTGGATTTACCCACTGAATAGGATGGACTTATAAAGCTGGCTATTTGAGTTGATGCCTGTCTACAATGGCGTGGTTACTGAAGGGTGGTGTGATTTTTGAATGTTGGACACCAGAGACATTGGTAAATTCATGTATATATCACTCTCGCTCAGCAGATTAAGATTCCTGTGGTTACACGTTCTTATCTTATATCTGTCAACTCTCTCATTGGTCAAGCTCTGTTATGCATCACTCGTTCTACAGGTTCGATGAAGCTCATCACATCTGGTAATCAAATTGAATACGGTTCCTGTTAATCAATTCTCCTCTCATTCCAGTAGTTCTAGTTCACCCCTGGCTTTCCCTCCATAACCCTCACATCAATTTGCAACAAATCACTGTTTGTTGAGTACCTGGACCTGAAGGAAGTGTTCAGTAAGTCTCGGCTGCTTCTCTTTCTCCACATCCACCATTTGACTGTGCTATCGATTTATTGCCAGGTATGTCTCTACCTAAAAGCAGGTTATATTCACTTTCTGTTTCAGAAAGGCAGGCCATGGAGAAAATTCTGATTCTCTCGCAGCCTTCTACCCCCTGCAGGTGCAGGATTCTTCTTTGTGGAAAAGAAGGATGCTTCCCTGCACCTTTGTATTGACTATCGTGGTTTGAACAGTATCACGGCATCCTTTGTCTTTGTATTTAATACCAATATCTGGTCATGCTGTTCAGGCTGTCCTACTCACCCACGGTCTTCCAAGGAATCATTCGGAGAGAGACATGAGATACATGAGCCGCGTTACCACCGCAATTACCACCGCAATTACTATTTGTCCCAGGAACTTTTTTCACGGGAACTTTTTTTTTTCCCCCAGACCCCTTGCTTACTGCGTTTACACCGCCTACTAAAGTACCGGTCCAAGGCGGGAAGATGTAGTGACGTTAAACTGCGTGCGACTGCTCTTCCTAGCCTATGCGTTTGTGTTGAGTTTTGTATAGAGGAGATTCAAGCTTTGCTGCCTTCGTGTGCGATTGGTTTACTAACGAGGTAATTAACAAAATGGCAGAAAAGAGAAGAGCACCCAAAGCGTATTCAGAAAGCTCGTAATGTTAGATATTAGATGTTTTTTGGTAAATGGTAAATGGACTGCATTTATAGCGCTTTCATAGACCTAATGGCCACCAAATGGCCACCACATATTGCCTCACATTCACCCATTCACACACTCATTCATACACCAACGGCGGTGTCAGCCATACAAGGCCGCCCCATCAGCGGACATTGACCGTGAGATGGATGGGACGAACGCACGCCATCGGGCAGAAAGAATAGCGTGGTGTGAACCAATCAGCATGTTCAGCACACAAGTCCCACCCCGAAAGTTCCTGAACTCTGAAAAAGTACCACCTCGCCAGCAGGGACTTTCTGGTGGGGGAAATTTTTACCCGGAACTTCATTTAGACCCTGGTTCCTTCGGTGTAAACACACCGAGTACCACCCCAAAGTTCCTAGTTCCTGGGGAAAGTTCCTGCGGTGGAAACGCGGCTATGGTTGATCAGTTCATATATGTTTTTTCCTGGTATTTTTTTAATATTTTTTCTGCGTCTCTGAATACGGTATTCAGGTGGGTGCTTTAGAAGCTGCTTGAGAAAGGGCTTTTTGTCAAGGCAGAGAAATGTGTTTTTCATGCACTTTTCTTGGGCTATATATCGTCTTGTCCAAGGGGGTGTGCATGGATCCCGACAAGATTCAGGCTTTGGTGGATTGACCAACCTCAGAGCCATTGCAGTCTCAGGTGCTGCCGAGGATTTGACATCTGCACCCACAACATGCTGAGTCTCTTGTTTTGTTTTTGCTGTCTTAAACTGTTTAACTGCACTTGCGAGTCAATCTCGAGTTATTCCCTCTGACAATAGATTTAGTGTAGATAATTAAATGCTTGCTTGCTTGGGTGTTGTCACCGCAATTTGTGTTATCCAGTAAAACATAAATCATTAAAACTTGAATGAATTTATAGTTTAAAAATGTATTGCTGTTTTACATAGGCTACACAACCATTCAAAATTTGGTTTTGAATTATTTATTTTTTTTACATTTTTAAAATAGAAAACAGTTAAAAATGAATATTACTGTTTTGCTGTTTTTTTTATTAATATCTTTTCAAGTCACCTTTATTTATATAGTGTTTTTTTTTTATAATACAGATTGTTTCAAATTAGCTTTACAGCGAAAACTACAGGAAAATGATTCAATGATGCAATTAGAATTAATTTCGGCTGTCGTTGTTCAGCTGAAGTTCAGTATTGATTCAGTTCCACTGTAAAGATCATCAATTATTACATTAGTTCATTTCATCTTTTAAGTAGTTCTGCAGAAAACGGTATTATCCAATAGTGTAAGTGCAGTCAAGAATAATAATATTTTTGGTATCAAATGATATTTTTGAAGTCAAGTATCTGTTTGAATGGGTGAGTGATATTGTATATAACCTTATGAAGACACATGTACTCTATATTAGTTTTGATTGTTTGCAGTATCAGAGATGACACACACTTACGTCTTCGGCCAGACAGGATGCGCTATGGAACACTGGGGTCGGACTCTGGAGCTGGAACTGCCTCAGTCGCACATGAATCTACAAGACAGGTTAGTACAGATTGATCATTCACAAAAACACTATTAAGATATTAGACATTTTCTCCAGCATTACGCACTTTCATAAGATAGCTGAGGCTCCTCTCACTAAAGACCTCCCTGAGGAAGACCAGGTCCTCCTTATGATTAGCTTCTGGATGCAGCTGGGAGGTGAGGAGGGCTAGCATCTCATGTAAACCTGCAGCATGCAAAATCATGAATAATATAATAGTTGTTGCGTTGACCAATACATCAGGATTACTGAGACCTATTATTGTGGATGTACTGTAACATCACATAAACACACATATTTTTAGTTACCAATGCCATTGAAAAAAAGACCCTAGCCATGTTTAAAATATTAGTCATCAATACCATTTAAAAAAAAAAAAACTCAAGCCATGTTTCAGAATGTGTTTTATAATTTTAAAGTATTCAGTTGGTCATGCGAACTTAACATTTCGGCTTCCACATAAAATAAAAAGGCTTTTATTAGGCAGAAGATATGACTGCAATTTGGAAATCACTGGATATGACATCTTGATTAAAAAAAATCTTGATTTGTGTTTTTTTTTTTTAATATGATGATCAGGTGAGTTTGTCTTATGAGAGCATCACAGCTGCTGTACCTGTGGTAGGTGAGAGAACAGGCATGGCTACTCATGAGACAGACAGAGTCAGACAGGAAAAGGGGTTGTCCTCTTCTCTTATGATTCAAAAGGTTATCCACAAAACCTGAAGAGAGAGAAAAAAATTGGCAAGTTAACATTTTATTTGTTCCTTTCTGTGGGTTGCATGGTAAATAGCTGTTCAATAATTATTTGCCACACATCAAATCAATGAGGCAAATCCAAAATAATGACAATAAGAGGAAAATAACATTTTAGTTCTCTAGATCATTTCATTTTGGCTTTAAATGACAATGCTGTTTGCATTGTGAGGTTTGTTATGAAGTATAACAAACCACCATAAGGTGAAATTTTGCTTCAAAAAAATAGAGGAAAGAGGGAGAATGAAAGACTATGACAATAGTCATTAGGCATGGCATTAAATTCAATTATACTTAATCATCTCAGTTTAATCTGGATAGGATTTTGCTATGATGAGTCAATTGAAGAAAAGCATTTATCTTCAGAGGGGAAATTGATTCTAGTGGTCTACACATATCCATGTAAATGAGTGAAGTAGAAATATGATCACTTCACTTGAAAATGAGTCCCCGGGGAAATAATTCCCATGGCAACAACAATCAATACTTTATCATTGCTTTTCACCTAGAGATACATCACAGGAAATAGGAATGTTCGCTGCACTACTTTAAAGTCTCTTTAGAGAGTCTGAAACTGATGCTTTTCGGTTTTACTACAAGCATGGTTAAATCATTTAGCCCATTTACAAATCAAGTAAAACAGCCCTAGTACATTTCTGCGAACTCAGTGATTTTACTCAAAAGCATGATGTGTTGAGAATGCAATGCAGATCCTATATGAGAACATTTCTCATACAATATCATTTTATGTTCACGTGATCACATTGGAGAACCCTTCAAATTCAGTGTTCAAATGTGTGACAGTGGTGATATTGGGTATTATGGAATGGCAATAGAACGAAGAAAATTAAAGGGCACCTATTATGCCCATTTTTACAAGATGTAATATTGGTCTCTGGTGTCCCTAGAATGTATTTGTGAAGTTTCAGCTCAAAATACCCCACAGTTAATTTATTATAACCATTTGAAAATTTTTTTTGTCATTTTTTTTAGTCATTTAGTCAATAGTCATTTTGGGGCCTGCTTAAAAATGAGCTGTTTCGGGGGTATACGGCTTTAAATGCAAATGAGCTGCATATGCCCGCCCTGCCTTTGGATGAGGGCGTAACTTGATACCAATGGCAGTCGGTACTGAGAGAGTGAGAGAAACCGCTGTTTTGAATGTCATTCAGCATACGTTTGAATCGGAATATATAAATAGTATGAAGAGACTCCGGCAGAATAAACACAAATGAGAATGGACCAGTACGTCTCGGTATGGTTATTTGATACATTTATGTACTTATAGTGTTGTAATCGCGTCCCCTTTGAAATGATGGGCATGTGCAACACACACACACACACACACACAGACACACACAAACACTAAAGCTGGCGCAATTTTTTTTTTAAAATTACATACACATACTGTGAAGTTTGCTACTACAAGCGAAATTACATTTATGAGGGACCTGTGGCGTCATGTTTACTTGTCATACAGGTGCTTCTGTGGCAAATGTGAGGAGATGGCTAACTTACAGAACAAGAACATATATGCAGTTTTTAATACAATATCTTTAAATAAACGTGTGGTTGCACACTATACAAACAAAGATTAAATTATATAGCCTACACAGACATCCTACGACAACAACTTTAGACGCATTTGTTGTTGAATTGGCTGACATTGACTGAAAAAGACTATTTGCTCAAAAATCATAAAATACACTTACTGTTACTGGATATGACGGTGGATCGCAAACAGTAGACGACGATCCACACTTGAGGATTAACTTTTAAGCTACAACAACAGGATTAACCCATGACAGAACATTTATGTTTCCAAGAGACATTACCGGCTGTCGTTGAAACAATGGAGGATGTACAGATTACCGAGGGCGGGGTCTATGCCACAACCACACTGTCAATCAAACCCCTTTCTCACTTTCTATGTCACAAAGAGCTGGATCTCAGAACAGCTCGTTCTGAGACAGTGCATATGATTTATTGAGATTGTAAAAAAAAAACACTGGGTGGATTTTTATCATTCTAGGGTGGTTTTGCTCACACACTGCCAACACACATTTATGTTCAAACACCATGTAAAAGTGAATTTTCCATAATAGGTGCCCTTTAAGATCCCAGACAGGTTTTAATGGTATCCACAGGCAAATCTAAACATAGGCATGCAAACAGAAGCATAACTGATGTCACCGGACACCAAACTGGTATATACAGATGGTGGTGATGGTGATTGAGTGCATAATTAGTATTAGTGACAATAGTATAGTATTAACTGGATAGTATACTGAACAAAATTAGTGTCAGTAACAACAAATGAGTGACGAAGGCAGAAGATGACGAAACATAAGGAGTCCAAACGAATGTGATGGTGACAGAATGCCCCCTACCGGTAGACGTGACCATGAAGAAGAGGTCAAGAGGATGAGGGGATGGTTAAGGGGCCTGCAGAAGGGATGGTGAAGAGGGATGGCGATGGGATATGGCACATACATACAGGAGGAGGCCCTGGAGGTGGATGGACGACCAGGAGGAGGATGAACCACCAAGTCCAGGGTGGTGATGGAGTGAGCCAAGGGTTGACCTTGAGCAGGGTATGATGGTTCATTTAGGCCACAGCCAAGGAAGTGCCCCACAGTGGCTTTGATGTAGGGAGAAGCCATGGAGGAACACTGATGTAGGTCACAATGCGGATGACCAGAGGCAATGACGGTGAGGATGGAGCCCACCATGCAGCCGAAGTGGTGGAGAGATGGTGAAGATCTTGGTGGCCACGACGGAGCCACAATGACGACCTCTCGAGATAGAGGAGGGGATCCAGAGGTCTGAGGGATAGTTGGAATGACGATTGAGGCAGAGCCTAAGGTAGGATGGCTACGTTGTGCGCCGAGGCTAGAGGTGGAGCCCAGGAAGAGATGGCTCTCGACAGGTCCAAAGTGGTGCAACGCTACTGGAGGCATAGGTGGTACCAAGGGACTGAAGGGAAGCAGTGATAATTGGGTGGCACAGATGGCTGAAGGCTGTGGAAAAGACTTGAAACCAATGCAGAAAAAAAATATAAAAATAGAGCATTCGAAATAGTCTGGCTGGGAGGAGCTAGCAGGTCTGAAGATGAAGACTCTGATTCAGGTGGGATCAAAGTGGGCAGGGAATCATCCTCCCCAAATACAAAACAAGTGTCCATTCTCAATTCCCACTCCTTGAAATCCAACAACACTCCCTTTGCGATGGGCCCGGGTCATCTTATACGTCACATTATTCACCTTCACGCTATCTGCGGTGGGTTCAGGCCTTCGATCCTTATCGTCTGGGTAGTTTTGGATGGGGAGTGGGGCAGCATCCTCAACTGTGAAAGCTGATCCGCAGGACACCAGCACCCACTTCACATATGTTGCGAATCTTCCTCAAAATACCTCCCCTGACAACTGTACATGTGTGGTGGAGTTAAGATCAACACACAGGAACATGCAGTCATCCAGGAACGTGGTTTGATGGGCGAGATCTAAAAACTCTCTCAAGTGAGGGTTCTCCCTGCTCAAAGCACAAAAGTGTCACTGCTCGAAAGTCCATGGTGCAAGAAGGGGTGATAACAGAAAAAAACCCCACTGAACACGAAAAAAGAAAAGAGAACTTTTAGACATGTCACAATTTATTTAGTTTGGTCCGGTGTTCTGTCACAGGGCTGGTTGTTTAAGCTCACAACGAAGAAGATGAAGATCAAAGACAGGCTTTAATAGTATCCACAGAGATAGAGGAGGGGATCCTGCGGAACGGCTGCGGATCCGCTCAGGAATGGTGGCGGAGTCAATAGATTTCCATTAAAGTCAATGTGTGCATTTTCACTGACTGCGTATCAGCTGCGTTCCGACTCCGTCCCAGCTCCAGGGACCGCAGCCCTCCAGAGAAGATACACAGAATTTCTATTTTTGCCAGATGCCGGAGAGCGCCGCAGGAAGTCGAACACAGAAACAAAACCAAAACATTATTGTCACTCATAAGTAGCCCAAAATTTAAACCACACCAATTTTGTTTTATATGCTTTTTCCTTTTCCAACAAAAACAATAGTTAACTTTATTTATACAACCTACTACTTTCCCAATACATTCAAAAAGTAAATTCATACGTAAATTCATGATATTGTGTCAGATATCGTGTGTCCTCGTGACTTCAGCTGTCAGTCATGGCCGCAGCTGTTCCACAACAAATCCGGATCTGGTAGGTATTTAAGGACGGCGGAGCATGGATCCGACACGCAGCGGAGCCAATCCGCAGCCGTTCTGCAGTTGGTGGAAATCCGGGGTAAAGGCGGCTCAAAACTATGAGCACGAGGCTAGGATTACCTATATTAAAGCCGCCTTTCCACTGCACACGAAATTCGCATACGATTGTCGCATTTCGCCCCCTAGTGTCAGTCGCAAGGCACTTTGAAACTGGTTGTGAAGCAACCGTTAGGCCGCCTTCACACTGGCAGTTGAAATCCTCTCCGATACGACTCCGAAACGACCGGAAGTCATTTATTTCCTATGGAGATTCGCAGGCCACATGTGAATGGGTCCGACCGAGTGTGGTGCGAAGAAAATCATGTCCGTTGGTCATCCGGATGCGTTCAAAAAATTTAACTCTTGCGAAAGCTACAGACGGTTCCTATCCGACAATTCCAGCTGATACTGATAAACAAACCTGAATTCTTAACTTTAGTAAAATAAATAATGATTTTATAACGATAAGTTGTCATGTCATTTTTTTTATTTTCATGACTTTCTAACGTTATTAGGGCAGTTAAAGGGATAGTTCACTTTGAAATTAATTTTTGGTACGTTTTAGCTTACCTCTAGGGCATCCAAGATGTAGGTGTCTTTGTTTCCACAGTATTTTCAATTTTGATATTTTTAGGTCAAACCGTTCTTGTCTGTCAGTCATATAATGGAGGTATATGGGGTCCACCTCAAAGAGCATACACAGAGAAGTCCAAATGAAACATGATTTAATGACTCATAAATGTAAGTACACATTGATGGCCTAAGACATGAAACGAGTGGTTTGTGTGAGAAAACGAACAGTATTTATATCGTTTTTACCTCTTGTTACCACAGCCACAAAGCGCCCGTGCCTTCAGATCACTGTGGTGTTATGTTACATTACTGATAACAAAAATCTGTTTGTTTTTTTTATTTATTTAAATAAAATATAAATTCCTGGAATGTAGGCCTACTGGTTTTCACTATAAATTATATGAAGTCTATTTGATGTAATGTTTTTATCTGGAAGACGTATTTTTAAGAGTGTTTGCTCATCTGCAATACGTCTATAGGACGTTTCCTGTCAGATGTCGGAAAATGGACATCTTCTAATAGACGTTTAGAAGATGTCTTTAAGATGTAATGATTTAGAATGCATGTGTAACCCAGTGAGGGTTATCATTAAGTACCTTAACCGTCATTTACTGATTAAAAAAGGTATTAATAAGTTTTATGATTCAGATGGGTTCATTTGATATATAGGTCCTGCTCCTTTAAGAGTTATGTTAAACGATAAACTTGATTGGGATGTAGATGCTAAAACATGTCTTTACCCAGCATGTTTGTTCTTTTATTGGTGATTGGTTATTTTTGGATTTATCCCCGCCTCTGTGAAATGGGAAAAAGATCTGATTGGAGAGGGAGAGGGGAAGAAAAAAAAAAAGAAGAACGGGAAAAGAGTTGACATCAAGTTTGACTCGATTAAGATTTGTTTTTTCTTTGCTTGTGTTATACGAGGCACTAGAGTTTAAATTAAGAATTAAGGGTGAGCTGAGCCTGTTTCCCAGCGCAGCACGAAGCTTCGTTGATTATTGAGACTGAGAAAACAGACTTAACTGCCGCGCCGTTTGTCTGCGACTAGTGGTCGGAGTCAGTGAACTTCAAAGACGGTTTGTGACTGAGTAAAAGCTCCGGGGGTCCGGAACAGGCCGCACTATTATCCCCGCTGACACAATGAAGATAACCGCGTCGCCCTGCTACTGAGTGCCTGGGAGACTACTGTTACATCGTGGAGTGCTATTTATGCACGACTTGTTTAGAGTGATGACACTGACACAAGCATTTCACATAGCAGCCTTTACTGACTCGAGACTCAACAAGACACAGTTGTTCTGCGCATGAACAATATCCCGAGGAGGGCAAATACGGAATCACCGTAAGGACAAAACCCGAAACGTTAAGTAAACAATACACAACATATTCCTCCCCTTTTACTTTTGAAGTCAATCTCAACAAATAAATGCTTTTGATGTCATACATACATTTGTCTTTAGTTTAAGAACATTACTCTTATTATTATTATTTTCATGAACATTCTATTAACTTTTCTAACTCTGGGGAAGGAGGGTAGACTGCCTCAATTCCCTGGCGGAACCCTGGGGATTATTCTGCCCCAATGTCGTGGGTTAGCCTCTAGACTAAAGATCCAATCTCCGTGGTGGTTTTCGCGCTCTAGTTGGGTAACGATGGAGAACAGGCACCGGTGGTGTTTCTACTGGAGTGTCTGTAACAGTCACTGATGAGGAAGAAGTATTCTCAACGGGAACGCTTACCCGCGGTTCACTCGAAGATGGTGTGGGTAAGGTTTCTGATACCACCTTTCGACCCGAGTTGAAGAGAGATGCGTGTTGATGTGCGTCCAATTCACAGGGATCATCACTGGAGATTGTCGAGGACAACAACTGGTCAACATGTCTCCTCCACGTAAACTTTTCCTTTGTTTCAACGATGTATGAAACAGGGCCGGTTTGTGCAAGAACAGTTGCAGGTACCCATTTCGCTCCCTTTCCATAATTACGAGCAAGTATCTCATCACCTCTGTTGAAACTCCTGAACTTCGCTTTGGATCGCCTCTCCACCTGCATTTGCTGTTGTGACAATACAATCTGCTTGGTTCCGGTTGGTCTCAGAAGATCCAGTCTGTTGCGTAGTTGTCGTTTCAACAAAGCTGTAGCTGGAGAGACTTTTGTGGTTGCATGAGGAGTGTTTCTGTAGGACAATAGAAATGTGTTCAGTCTTTGGTTTAGGGAGCCCTTACCCTGAGATGTCTTTAGCGCCTTCTTCAGTGTCTGCACGAATCGTTCAGCCAGGCCATTTGTGGATGGATGATAAGGAGCAGATCTGATGTGCTGAATTCCATTTACACTCAGGAAAGACTGAAACTCTTCAGACACTAGCTGGGGCCCATTATCACTTACAAGCTGTTGTGGCAGTCCAAAACGACTGAAAACATTTCTAAGCTCCTCAATGGTCTTCTCCGAAGATGTGTTATGCATGACCGCAACCTCAGGCCATTTGCTGTGAGCATCCACAAGTACCAGAAACATGTGGTTCTCCAGAGGTCCTGCGAAGTCTATGTGAATTCTTTGCCATGGCACCTCTGGAAAATCCCATGGATGTAAGGGAGCTGGCTGGGGCATGTTCCTTACATTCTGACATTCTGAACAACCCTTTACTTCCTCCTCGATCTCTGCATCCAAGCCAGGCCACCAGAAGTAGCTGCGTGCCATCTCTTTCATTCTCACTATTCCCGAATGACCAGCGTGAAGTTCTTTCAACAAACGGTGCCTCAGGGGCGGGGGTATGATGACACGATAACCCCACAGTAAGCAATCCGACTGCACTGTCAACTCATTTCGTCGAATCAGATAGGGTTTGAATTTATCTGTTATCTTCCCTTTCCAGCCCTGAGATATCCTGGTCAGAACTTCTGACAAGACAGGGTCAGTTCTTGTGAATCGTTTCACTTGGGCAGCAGTTACCGGAGCACCTTGCACTTCTTGGAAGTAGAATATGTCGCCTTGAGGGCATTCTGGCTTTGTGTCTGGCAAAGGCAGCCTAGACAGTCCATCCGCATTGCAATGTTGCTCAGACCTCTTATACTTGATGTCGTACTGATGAGCCGACAGTAGCAGAGCCCAACGTTGCATGCGATTCGCTGCCAGAGAAGGAATACCGGTTTGGGGACCAAAAATGGAGGTAAGGGGTCTGTGGTCTGTGAGCAGGGTAAATCTGCGCCCAAACAGGTACTGGTGAAATTTCTTCACACCAAACACGATTGCTAAAGCTTCTCGCTCAATTTGAGCATAATTACTCTCTGCTGAGTTCAGAGTCCTTGACGCAAAAGCGATTGGTCTTTCTTCACCAGATGGCATTACATGTGAAAGTACCGCACCTACACCATACGGTGAAGCATCACATGCCAACTGTATCGGTAGGGCAGGGTTGTAATGTGTGAGGACCTCTGATTGTGTTAATGTGCACTTCACATCTCTGAATGCCTTTTCACATTTGTCAGACCATTTCCATTTGTTTGACTTGTTTAACAGTTCATGAAGTGGACGAAGTCTACTGGAAAGGTTTGGCATGAACTTTGCATAGTATGTTAGCAATCCTAGGAATGATCGCAGTTGGCTTACGTTCTTTGGTGACGGCGCATCCACAATAGCTTTTACCTTTGATGGAGCTTTGTGAAGACCAGCGCTATCAATCACGTGTCCTAGGTACTCGATGGTGGGCTGGAAGAAGTCACATTTGTCTTTCTTCACCCGAAGGCCATACTCTTTTAGCCTTTGTAGTGTTGCGTTCAGGTTCCCGAGATGGTCTTCATCATCTTTCCCTGTAATTAACAGATCATCGAGATAACACTGTACTCCATTCAATCCACTCAGGATCTGGTCCATGGCCCGCTGGAACAACGCTGGAGCCGAAGTTATGCCGAAAGGAAGCCTCTGATACCTGTATAGGCCCTTGTGTGTCACGATGGTCAGCAGCTCTTGGGAAACAGGATCCACCTGCATTTGGAGGTAAGCTTGACATAAGTCTATCTTGCTGAATTTTTGGCCGCCGGCTAATCCAGCAAACAGATCTTCAATTAGTGGCAAGGGGTAGTGTTCAAAAGTTAACACCGGGTTGATAGTAACCTTGAAATCGCCACAAATTCTGACTGATCCATCCTTTTTCAGTACAGGAACAATTGGCGTGGCCCACTCGCTAACACTCACTTTCTTCAGTACACCGGTTTCCTCCAGCCGGTCTAATTCAGTTCCTACCTTAGGCTTTATGGCGTAAGGAACTGGGCGAGCCTTTAAGCACTTAGGTTTACTATCAGACTTAATGGTCAGTTTTACAGTGATATCTTTCATGCTTCCCAATTCATCTCCAAACACCTCTGCATGCTTCCTCAGAATGTGTTGTAGGCTGGTAGACTCTTTCGCCACTAAATGTACTTCCTGCCAGTTTAGCTTTATTTTCTCTAGCCAAGATCGACCGATCAGAGCTGTGTGACTACTACCTTTCACAATATACAGTGGTAAGTTTACCTTTTGTCTGTTTAGCTCTACAGACACATCCACGACTCCTGACAGAGGTACAAGCTCACCTGTGTATGTTTTCAAGCTCAGCTTCGCTTCTTTGAGACAGAGGTATGGCCACTTCTCTTGGTAAGTTGACTCTGCCATGAGCGATACAGCAGCTCCTGTGTCCACTTGCATTGGGACAGCTTTTCCATCTAGAAGTGGTGTCACCCAGTAGCCATCAGAATTTGAAGACACAGACATTACATGCGAGTATTCAGTTTCATCAGATTCATCCTCCTGTTGTTTCCCTGAATATTTCACTTGATTCACGTTTTTCTTTTTGAGTTTTCTGACATAACTTTTCTTGAACTCTCCAGGTTTAGCTGGGTTTGCTTTCTCATTTTGCTTTCTGTTTTGGCACACACGTTCAATATGGCCTTTTTTTCCACAGTTTCTGCAGTCTTTGTCTTTGAACCAGCATTCCTGTGCCATATGACTACTCTTTCCACAGCGGTAACATGCTCGCTTATCATCCTGTTTCACTCTTTCACTGTACACATTGTGAACTTGACTGGCTGTGCTTAACTCTTGTGCTTCTTTTGCAGCCATTTCCATGGATACACCGATTTCCATTGCTCGCTCTAGCGTTAGGTTACTTTCACATAAGAGTCGCTTTTGAATGGTCTCACTACGCAACCCACACACAAATCTGTCTCTTATGGTGTCACTCAGTGTTGTGCCGAACTCACAGTGTTCTGACAGACGCTTCAGTACAGCCACAAATTGTGCAATCGATTCTCCTTCTAATTGGTTGCGTTTATGAAAGCGGAATCTTTCAGCAATGATGAGTGGTTTTGGTGCATAATGTTCCTGGAGCATTGTTACAATGTCCTTGAATGAGCTATCACCAGGTTTATTGGGCTGGACCAGGCTACGTAGTAGATTATATGTCTTACAACCCATTACACTGAGAAAAGTTGGTACTAGAACCTCATCTTTTATCCCATTAGCCTTGACAAAATAATCGAACCGCTCCGTATACGAGCTCCACTGCTCGACAGTTTCATCATATGGTCCGATTTGCCCCACTAGACCCGCCATTTTGGTCTGTTTGTCAGTGTAATTTACCACTCACTCTTCTTATATACTGGACTCCTTTCCCTCCCGTGCCGTTTTGCGTCGCCTTCGTGGTGTGCAGTTGCCGTTCTCTGTTTGCGCTATTTCCCAGCGCGACGAGCATCGCACGACATGACTCGCGTGCGTTTTTGCCTGTTAGCTTCCACTGCTCGACGCCGTCGCGGTTAACGAGTCGCCGTCAGCTGAATAGCACGTTATCTCGGAGGGAGAGAGAGAGTTTATCCTCGTCGCCAACTTTGTTACATCGTGGAGTGCTATTTATGCACGACTTGTTTAGAGTGATGACACTGACACGAGCATTTCACATAGCAGCCTTTACTGACTCGAGACTCAACAAGACACAGTTGTTCTGCGCATGAACAATATCCCGAGGAGGGCAAATACGGAATCACCGTAAGGACAAAACCCGAAACGTTAAGTAAACAATACACAACAACTACAGAACGATCAGCCGTTTTCTAAGGAGGAAAATCGCGGAGTTCATCAGCGCTCAGGTGATCAGTTGATTTATTTTGGCTCATTCAGGTGAAGAGGCATTTTGGTGTTTTCCCGGCCACAACGCTCCCCAGCAACGTTACAGGCCTGCAACGGGGTGGGTTGTTTTGACTGGTATGTGTGTGTGTGGGCCCACGCTTTTATATTAACTGTTGTTCTGTTATGTTCCATACCTTTTGTTGGTGGTTTCGAAACTGTTAATACGACCTAAGAGTACTGTGTGATACTGATCGTACCCAAGTACATTTATCTGTTATTTCTAAGTGTAATTGAATATATTTTAGGGTGAAATTAATTTCATTTCTTCATATATATTTTCGGAGACTTTGTGAGGTACTCAACAAGTATTTGTGAGAGGTATTATCATCTGTGATATACATTTCTGTCCTTTGATAATTCAATCCAGGGTTTATTAATACTCTATTCATTTATTTTGTTCATTTTCCCTTTTTTCTGTTTAATAAATCCTATTGTTAACTTCTTTAACCTTACATTTGTATTGATTTAGGGTTTTCTCTGTTGGGTTAATTGCCATTTAAATATTAGCCATTTTCCAAAGAATATAATTATATTTAAGCTGAGTACAGTAGCCAGCTAGGGTAATAGGAGGGACATTATTATAAAGTCGAGAGACATTTTCAGAACCTGGGTGCTCCGCCCTATTAATGGTCAAGGGTAGGGGGCGCTACATAAATTGGGGGCTCGTCCGGGATACGTACTTCCTGTTACCCTGATGAAGACAAAAGAGACACTGAAAACAAGAGCTGAGTTATAGTTTAAGCTTAAATAAGTTGACTAATAAGTATCTGACTGAAGTTTCAGCATGGCCTTTGGAAGTAGCCCACTCCTGCTCGCTGAATTGTCCAAATGGTGTAAGGAGGTAGAGATTGAGGAGGCTCATGCTATACTGTTGATCGGCGTACCTGCAACTACCGAAGTAGCAGTTATTGAAGATGCTGTTCAAACTGTGAAAGTTTTTGGAAGAGTGCGAGTTCGAGACTCAAAAGTGGGGCCCAGTCCTGATACCCTAGTGGTGCTATGTGAGTGTCGGGAAGTCATCGACCCTGCCCGCATTCCAGCTGAACTACTGCGGCCTGATGGAGAAGAGTCGTGGAAAGTGGTAGTGACACCTGGTGATGTTCCAACCTCTGAGTTTTCCAAGAAATTGTCAAAGTTCTTAACAGATGAAAGAAAATCTATGATTGACTTACAGGCCTTGTTCTCTCCACAAAGTTTCAGTTGCCCTGAGTCCATCATACGTGCAGTGGGTGAACTTCTGGAGAAGACCACAAAACCAGTAGGGGAAACTAATGCTTATCGACGGCTACGTATCTTTTCTGGCATTGTTCCAATACCGATTGGAGAAGAAAGTCTAGAAAACTGGATAGAACAAGCAAGATTAATGACTGAGGAATGTGAGTGTTCTGAAAAGGAAAAACGGCGAAGAATAATGGAGAGTGTGAAAGGGCCAGCCCTTGACATTATCAAAGCTGTTCGATTTTCATGTCCTGACGCAAGTGCTGTTCAATATTTGGAAGCATTAGAAAACACATTTGGAACCTTGGAGTCAGGGGAGGATCTATACTTTGCTTTTCGTCTAATGCGTCAATTCCCTGGGGAAGCATTGTCTGATTTTTTACGTAGGATGGAGAAATCCTTAACTAAAGTTGTGCAAAGAGGAGGGTTAAGTCCTCAGATGATGGACAGAACAAGGGTTGACCAGCTGATTAGAGGTGCGGTAGAGTCGGATCTGATGCTTCTGCAGTTAAGACTGAGGGAGAGAAGGGAACAGCCACCAACTTTCTTAACCCTGCTGAATGAAATCAAAGGAGCTGAGGAGAATGAAACTGCTCGCCGTAAACTCAAGGTATCCGTGAAGGCCGTACAGCTGAGACAGGATGGTGAGACGGACTCTTCGGTGATCAAACAACTCCAAGAATAAATTCATGAGCTAAGATCCAAATTCATGGAGAATCCAAACACCGTTTCTGTTTCTGCCATGAGGGTGGATCCAAAAGACAATCAGGAAAAGAAAAGAGCTGATTTCCATGGAGAATCTGAAGTACAAGTGTTAAAGAAGCAAATTCAACAACTGCAACAACAGATAGCAGTAATGAGCTTTAGTTCCACTACTCAGTCCAGCCCCAGGTCGGTTCCAGTATCTTATAGAGAAAGGCCAGTTAAACCCAGAGATGAGTTCTTCTGTTATCGGTGTGGAGAGGATGGGCACATCGCTACCAAGTGTCAATCATCTGAAAACACGGCTCAAGTAATACAGAAGTTGTTACGTGCTCTCCGAAAAGCTAAGTCTGCACAGAACCCTGGGACTGGAAACAGTGCCACTTCCAACAGTCTACACTGTTTCTCTAAAAAGAGTCAAACTGTGGTCTGTGGGGTAAGCCAACTTCCTAGAGGGTTAGTAGGTCCTGCCTCAACCATCCCTGTGGAGCTGAATGGATGTCCTTGTCAAGCTTTACTGGATAGTGGGTCCCAGGTCACCATTGTATTTGACCAGTGGTATTCCAAGCACTTACCGCAGATACCGATCCATCCACTCACTGGATTGTCCATTTGGGGTCTAAGCTCTTCTAGTTATCCATACAAGGGATACATCATAGTGGATGTGTTGCTTCCTGTTTCCCTCACTGGGGTTAAAGAGCCAGTTTCCATTCTTGCTTTTGTCTGCCCTGAACCTCAAGGACCCCAGCAAGTTCCCGTAATAATCGGCACCAACGCAAGCTTCTTTCAACGGCTAACCATGCTCAGTCAGAACTCTGGTGTATCCAACCAAGCACACTCCCTGAGAATTCAGTCGTTGCTCCTTGAACCATGTTTACTGCCGGTGCAGGGAAAAGAGGAAGTCCCAGAGACCGATGATGGACAGGTCAAGTGGAAAGGACCAGGAGCCCTTACTATCCCTTCAAGAAGTGAAACCTATGCTGGGTGTAAAGTGGAGTGTGAGAAGCCACTGAGAAAATACATTTTTCTTGTGGAAACACAGATGGACAGTCAACTTCCAGCTGGACTGTTTATCCCTCCAACGGTCATGTCTTCCTCTGCCATTAATGTGAACCACTTCAGAGTCCTGGTCTGCAATGAGACCTCTAAAGACATCAGCATCCCGACTGGCACAGTAATTGCTAAAGTCTTTGCCACTGACACAGTCACAGTTACGCCTGACGCTCCAATAGATCCAAAAAGGATAGATCCCAGTGTGTTCAAGTTTGGTGACTCTCCTATTCCTGCTGGTTGGGTGAAAAGGCTTAGAGAAAAGTTAGCTGAACATGGAAACGTGTTTTCCCTTGAGGAGTGGGATGTGGGCAGAGCAAAAGGTGTGAAACACAATATCAGACTCAGTGACAGCAGACCATTTAGGGAACGATCCAGGTGTGTAACACCTGCAGACATCGACGATGTGAGGCGCCACCTTAAATACCTGTTAGCTGCAGGCATCATAACTGAATCCCGAAGTCCTTATGCCTCACCAATAGTTATTGCACGAAAGAAAAATGGAACCATCCGTATGTGCATTGACTACCGTACTTTGAATTCTAGAACAACTCCTGACCAATACACCACTCCCAGGATAGATGATGCTTTGGACTGTCTGTCAGGAAGTAAATGGTTCTCCGTCTTAGACTTGCGTAGTGGCTATTATCAGATTGAGATGGCTGATGAGGACAAGGAAAAAACAGCATTCATCTGTCCTCTGGGTTTTTATCAGTTTGAACGTATGCCACAGGGGATCACCGGGGCGCCCGCAACATTTCAGCGGCTAATGGAGAGAGCTGTTGGAGATATGCATCTTCTCCAGGTCATTGTGTATCTGGACGACCTTATTGTCTTCGGTCGTACATTAGAAGAGCATGAGGAAAGGCTGCTGAAAGTGTTGGACCGGCTGGAAGAATATGGACTCAAAGTATCTATAGACAAGTGCCAGTTTTGTCAGCCACAAGTCAAGTACGTGGGACATATTGTTTCGGCTGATGGAATAGCTCCTGATCCTGAGAAGGTGAATGCTGTGTCTCAAAGGAAGAGGCCGCATGATTTGAGGTCCCTGAGGTCCTTTCTAGGATTTTGTGGCTTCTATCGCCGTTTTATCAAGAACTACTCTGCCATTGTGAGACCCCTAACTGACTTAACCAAAGGTTATCTTCCTGTTAAAGGTCAATACAAAGCCGTACAGAAAGGAAAGTACTACCATGAGTCAGAGCCATTTTGTGAGCGCTGGGACACAGGGTGCACAGAGGCCTTTCATAATATCATCTATTGTCTTACACATGCTCCAGTTCTGGCCTATGCAGATTCTGTTAAGCCATATGTCCTACATGTTGATGCAAGCCTGAGTGGTTTAGGTGCAGTGTTAAATCAGGAACACCCAGATGGAAGTCCCGGACATCACCTTACCACCCTCAAGGAGACCCGCAGCCGGAGCGTTTCAATCGAACTCTTCTGTCCATGCTGGGTACACTGGATCCTGTCCAGAAGAACCGGTGGAGCCAAAGTATCAGTCAGTTGGTGCATGCGTACAACTGTAGTAAAAATGAGGCAACTGGTTACTCACCTTATTATCTGTTGTTCGGGAGAGAGGCCCGTCTGCCGGTTGACGTATGCTTTGGGACTTCGGGGGCTGGTGACAGTGGGATGAAACATCAGCAGTACGTTGAGAGATTGAAAAAAGAGCTGCAGAATGCCTACCACTTAGCCTCTGAGAGTTCGCTAAAGATGCAGCAAAGGAACAAGAGACAAGTGAAACATCAGGCTTTGGAGAAAGGAGATCGAGTGCTTATTAAGAACCTGGCCATTACAGGAAAGCATAAGTTACAGGATCGCTGGAACTCCTTACCCTACCTCGTTATGGAGAAACTGCCAAACTTACCTGTATACAGGGTAAAGCCAGAGACCGGCACAGGGAGCGTCAGGACCTTGCATCGAGACCATTTGTTATCTATTGGAGATGAAGTGAGGTTGTACTTGCCTGATGAGAGGATGGAGGTCCAGCGTCCAGTGGTGACCAGAGCAAAAGCGGTGGAGAGAAAGCAAAGAGAGCCATCAGCACAATATCGTTGTGATCCAATAGATCAATCTGATAGTGATGAAAGTAGTTTGTGTGATTACTTCCCAGTTCAACATGGGAGACCGGTCAGACAGATAGACACCCCCTCATTGAATACAGGAAACGTAGAGATGCCTAACAGTCAGGAAAGAGTTTCTAATCAAATGGAAGTGATAGGAGATCTACCAGAGTGTGAAGCTGAATGGATCTCTCTGCCGACCCCTGATCGTATAGAGGATCTGGAATCAGAAGGGGAAGATAGGCAGTTCATGAATTCCACAACAGAAGCAGAAACTGAGACAGTTAAACTTCGTCCAAAGAGACAAGTAAAACCAGTGAAAAAACTGAGTTATGATGAACTGGGGCAGTCTACAGACAGACACTTAACCCTAGTATATAGGGGTATGGTGGTGCAAATTGAAGATTTCCCAAGAAAGACAACTGTTTGCAAAACATTGTGGTGCCACCCTATGGCACTGTGCCCCCAATGTTCTAGATTGAGGAAACACTTAAAATCTAGAGCCATGATACTAATGTAGTAGGCTCGTCTCATGGGGACATGAGTCATAAAGAAGGGGGAGAGTGTAACCCAGTGAGGGTTATCATTAAGTACCTTAACCGTCATTTACTGATTAAAAAAGGTATTAATAAGTTTTATGATTCAGATGGGTTCATTTGATATATAGGTCCTGCTCCTTTAAGAGTTATGTTAAACGATAAAGTTTGATTGGGATGTAGATGCTAAAACGTGTCTTTACCCAGCATGTTTGTTCTTTTATTGGTGATTGGTTATTTTTGGATTTATCCCCGCCTCTGTGAAATGGGAAAAAGATCTGATTGGAGAGGGAGAGGGGAAGAAAAAAAAAGAACGGGAAAAGAGTTGACATCAAGTTTGACTCGATTAAGATTTGTTTTTTCTTTGCTTGTGTTATACGAGGCACTAGAGTTTAAATTAAGAATTAAGGGTGAGCTGAGCCTGTTTCCCAGCGCAGCACGAAGCTTCGTTGATTATTGAGACTGAGAAAACAGACTTAACTGCCGTGCCGAGTCAGTGAACTTCAAAGACGGTTTGTGACTGAGTAAAAGCTCCGGGGGTCCGGAACAGGCCGCACTATTATCCCTGCTGACACAATGAAGACAACCGCGTCGCCCTGCTACTGAGTGCCTGGGAGACTACAGAACGATCAGCCGTTTTCTAAGGAGGAAAATCGCGGAGTTTATCAGCGCTCAGGTGATCAGTTGATTTAATTTGGCTCATTCGAGTGAAGAGGCATTTTGTTGTTTTCCCGGCCACAACGCTTCCCAGCAACGTTACAGGCCTGCAACAGGGTGGGTTGTTTTGACTGGTATGTGTGTGTGTGGGCCCACGCTTTTATATTAACTGTTGTTCTGTTATGTTCCATACCTTTTGTTGGTGGTTTCGAAACTGTTAATACGACCTAAGAGTACTGTGTGATACTGATCGTACCCAAGTACATTTATCTGTTTTTCTGTTATTTCTAAGTGTAATTGAATATATTTTAGGGTGAAATTAATTTCATTTCTTCATATATATTTTCGGAGACTTTGTGAGGTACTCAACAGGTATTTGTGAGAGGTATTATCATCTGTGATATACATTTCTGTCCTTTGATAATTCAATCCAGGGTTTATTAATACTCTATTCATTTATTTTGTTCATTTTCCCTTTTTTCTGTTTAATAAATCCTATTGTTAACTTCTTTAACCTTACATTTGTATTGATTTAGGGTTTTCTCTGTTGGGTTAATTGCTATTTAAATATTAGCCATTTTCCAAAGAATATAATTATATTTAAGCTGAGTACAGTAGCCAGCTAGGGTAATAGGAGGGACATTATTATAAAGTCGAGAGACATTTTCAGAACCTGGGTTCTCCGCCCTATTAATGGTCAAGGGTAGGGGGCGCTACACATGTTAAACTGACATCTTCTAAACATCTGTTTGACATCTGACAGGAAACGTCCTATAGACATATTGCAGATGAGCAAACACTCTTAAAAATAAGTCTTTCAGATGTAAACATCACATCAAATAGACTTGTGCTATCTGGGATAATATATAATAATTCACATATTTTACTTGCAAATATCATTACTTAAAATCACAACCTTGTGCTGATGAAAGAGTAAATCTGAGAGACAATCTAAATTTTGAATATTTCACACAAGGAGCTAAAACCTTACAGTTGATGAAATATTAATGGGTGTCATGATTTTAAATTTTGGTACAGCTTGTTCCAGACAAGCTGAAACCTTACTACTGACTTTTTTATTTATTTATTTTTTGAAAGCCCTCTAATCTGTACGGATTCTCTAAAAAAAAGACTTTCTCTTTCCCATTCGCTCTGATTATGATGTGCGTGATGGAAAGATTACGCTGCTCTGTGTCGCTCTCCATCTTCCTCACATGCTGCAGCTGCCTTATAGGGATTCTCACCAGACATATGGTCAGATCAGGGTCATCTCGCTTGTACTTTGCAGCCCAGCTTACCATTTGAAAATACCATCGGTGAAAGTGTCATGCAAAACACCACCCCGACACCACCAAACACAAAACCTAATTGCTATGAATGCCAAATTATTATTCTCCCCAGTGAATCCACCTTTTATTTTGCAGTTTGAAGACCTTGGGCCTGTCTGTACTTATCATCCTTTCTTTCTCCAGAAGAACAGAGGGCCATTTGCCCAGTTCTCACCCTTACAGAATGATTCATGAAAGTCTGAAAACATGCCTTGCTGGGGGACAAGGTCAATCAGCCACTCTTCTGCCACCATCTGTCAATTTCACTATCACGTACCGCTAAAGGCCACCATTCTTGTTGGCAGTTCTCCTCTCTCTGTGTGTGTGTGCATTGTGCACATAAATGCTTGTATGGACACAAGCATGGGCAGCAAAAACATCAAATTAAATCTCCTTGGAGAAGATTATCACAAATGACATCAGCAGGAGTCACTGAGCTCTATAGAGCCAAATTCATTCCAATTCAGCAAATGATCAGAAAACCGCCTTTCTATCAAATAAAAACATGTCACAACACTATATATGCACCTACAAATGTGCTACAAGCAGATTCAGTAGTTGACAGGTTGCAGATTCAGTAGTTGACAGGGTGCATGCCTGTACACACACATAATTTTAATTTTTAACTTCATTAACTTTGATTGGTCTTATAGAGAGAAGATTCTATCCACTACCCCTCATGTAAACCTTTTTTTGCATTTTTATATTGTCACTAAGATATTATTTAGTATGTTTATTGAAAAAAAAATTCTGGTTAATACCCACAACATTGGTAAAACCTGATCCACACACACACACACACACACACACACACACACACACACACACACACAGTCATGACAACAAATCACAGGTACAAGAGAATACCTTCAATATGGCTCAAGACAGTAAAAGCAGAAGCTCATGAGGAACAAATAGAAAACACACAAAATACAACATTTACATAACTATTTTTCAATTCACCCAAATTCAGTAATGCTTTCTGAATGCATTTATTGTGACAACCTATAGGGAATCTGAGAAAAATTAAGGGACACCCCGCATCCCTCTACCTCATTCCAGCGGACGTGCATCCCAGAGTCTGTCCAAAACTGTCTGTTACGGAATGTGGCCAGAGAAAAACGCATCACTGGATGCTGAGATCCTTTTAAGTGCAGGATCCTTCCACCCTGCTGTTCAGTCTGTCTGCAGAGCGGATTATACAGCCAGCATGCAAAAGGGAGAACGCTGCCGTATCTCTTACCTTTCACCGCCCTTGCGTGTTTGAGAGTGTTTCCGCTTTCATGGACAGACCCTCGGCATCTATGTGGTGATTCCTTCTACACTAGCCCAGTGTGTCTCGGTTCTTCGTTACCTCCCCTCTTCTCTCTCTCTCTCTCTCTCTCTCTCACATACAATCTTCAGCCCTCCCTCTTCAATCTCTTGCTCTATCACCATCCCCCCACTGGTCCTCTTCCTATCTCTCCTCTAATGATGCTTGCTGTGATATGGCAGGAGCTGATCAGCAGCGCCTGATTCTGGACTCAGTAGAAAAACCTGGTGTTCATAATCAGAGATGTAAAGAGAACCTGAACACACTTGAGTAAAAGTACAGATACCTTAAAGGGTCATGAAACCGCAAACCACATTTTCTGAGATTATAACAGAGGTATGCGTGTTGAACACCATTGAAGACAATGTTAGCATCTGTTAGATTTAATAATAAGGTTAAAATGGTTAAATTTGAGTTTTTTTCCGCTTTTTTCGTCTTCCGGGTTTAAAATCTTCATTGTAGCGGGTGACGTGGCAGTGCACTGCACAGTGCGTTGATGACTCATCGGTGTTATCCTATGAGAAGACACGGCCTCTTAATTATTCATGACACCACGTGGATCTTTCCAACGACAGACATGACAAACTGTGATATCGCGTAGTAACGTTAGATGAGAGAGGCAATCATGGGACGCAAACTATTTGTTTTCATGGTGCAAAGTCCAAGTGCGTTGAATATGTTCCCCGCGATGCTGCCAGGGCTAGACTCTGGCTCTGGACGGTTGGTTTGCCATCAAACACGGACACGTCTAAACCTGATCCAACCTATAGTGTGTGCCGCGAACATTTTCGCGAGAGAGCTGCGACAAGTGGAGAATGATGGACTTCGCCTTGTTGACAACTAATCCAAGTTGCGTCTTGCGAGTGATGCGGTATCCCAAGGACTTTCTATCACTTCAAAGGTGTGTGTGTGTGTGTGTGTGTGTGTGTAAAATGAGAAGTCATTTATTATGAGGGTTCAGATGGCGCGTAGACTATGCACTTTCTTTTACTGTCTATGACTATGCACGGAACGATTTTTTTAAGCGGAAAATTAATAATTTTTTTTCTGAAATGTATTTATAGTGTCTATATAAACCACTATATATTTTATAATGACATTATAAATATACATGTAGCCTACATTAATATGTTTTAATTAGAATTACGATTACTGTCTAATATTTGTAGTAGGACATTCAGTTACTTTTGAAAGGACGATAATAAAGTGTCAGTGTATTTCATAAGACTAACTTTGCCAGCTATATAAAAATATAGCATTTCCTCACGTTTTACCATTGCTTTTTAGTGACAGTCGAAATGCATGGGAGAGTGACAGTGATGGTCATACAACACCCACTCCCTCCCTTCTTCTCACAGCTAGCCACACCCATTTCAGTTGCATTTTTCAAAAAGATTTTGAGCTAGACTTGAGCTGAAAGAGGGGGGTTTCATGACCCTTTAAATGAGAAAATGACTTGAGTAAAATTCTTAGATAATCACATTTTAACAGTAAGTATTTTACTTGTAAAAAAAGTTAAAAACAGTAACAGTTGAATTTCTGAGAGCAATCAAGTTTATTTTAAAATCAAAATAAAATGTAACACCTCTAAATTGCAATAAAATAAGGTAAATAAACACAGGAGCCTCTGAAACGTCTCAGTTGAGCTCAAGTGCTCAAAAAGTGCATAAGTGATTATCCTTCAATATAACAGATAGATTAAATAAAATTTATTAAAATTAAATAGTCAAAGCCTACTTGCACTTGACGTGCAAATTTCGGCCTCATCAGCTGCATGTCCTCATCTCATATATGAAACACATGCGATTCAGCAACTACCTGCTAATGCACTCACATTGAAAGTAGCCGTGTTGACAAGTTTGAGTGAGTGAAGGCAAACACAAGATATAACCTTCAATCTCCTGTAGATGGTGGTGTCACTTGTTTAGTTGCAGAAATGTAGAAAGAAGCAGTCAAGCAACACGAGCTCCCTTTCGTTGTCACTTCCTTGCGTCAGATGACGACGAATGGGGTTTTGCTTAGAAAGCCTATAGACCATTTTGCAAGATGTAAACAACACTGGTCCATAAACATTTCCTGTTTCAGTTTGTAACTGTTTTCTTTATTTCACATGTAAAGAAAACATCTTAAAGATGTTTGTCTAACTTTTTGATTAAGTTTTATATGTTCTGTTGGTTGTATTTTATCCCAGCTTTTATGTAGAATTAAAAAACTGAAACAGGAAGTGCTTCTGGACCAGTGTTGTTTACATCTTGCAAAATGGTCTATAAACATCGATCAATATACGAGGCAATGGCAATGGGTCTGCAGAATTTGCCTAGTGTATCTCCGCCAAACCTCATGAGTATAAAAGGAGAACGCCGGCAGAATACAGACATGTTTTCACTTCCGAGCCATCTCTTCACTCCACAGCCATTTCTGACTTCACTCTTCGAGACGAGCCACTCTCTCCGGTGTTGGTGAGACGGGCGATCTGCAGCGAGTTCACATTGCCTGCTGGTCTGTGCAGTGATCTGTGTTTCTCCCTGCTCACTTCAACATCGCAGAGTTTTTCCTCCTCTCACAAAAGAGCTCACATACGGCACATCTTTTTAAAGACGGCTCGCCCGCGCATTTCTGGTTGCGGTCGACTCATTTCTACTTGGGCTTGATCGCGCTAGAGCAGCATTTGTGGATGACTCGCGTTCTCCACCACGGGAACGTGACGATCGCGTCATTACGGTCGAGACTCAATGATCTCGTTAGAGCAGGGGTTCTCAACTCCAGTCCTCGCGACCCACTGCTCTGCATATAGCTTGTTTTCACGTGGCGTCACGCAACTGCGTTGCCATGGCGCGAAGCGCAAATGGAGGGCAGGAAGTGATTTCTATATTTAGGAAGCACTTTAACACACTCAAAATGCCTGTGTTTTGCGTCGTTTACGGTTGCTCAAATCGATCAAACCACAAGGAGTTTTTATCGTGTGACAAAAGTTGTTGTTCATAAGGGGGGAAAATACAAGAAATTGACTGAAAAACACCGGGATAATGCCTTATAAACCTACGTGTGCGGTCGGAAGGAGCCGAATGGGAAAATGCCTGTGTGTGTGTGCGCAGTGATCACTTCGTCAAATGTGAGTTACATTATTTATGTGGCTTATAATTACATTATTCAAGTGTTTAAATACACTTATGTGGCTGTTTGTGTAACATACCAGTTTCCGAACAATGTAAAGTCAAAGTATGTCTGTAAGACGAGTTAGTTGCTGATATTTACAGCCTCGATGGCAGGCAAATCTCTCAATTCAGTTGAAAATCGGTCCTCTTCATAACGTAAGGATCACGTCCAACATATGTTTCGATTTTCTGTTTATATATTTCTCTTGTAATAGCGTCTAAAGTAGTACAGTACGGATTTTCCTCCATCTCATCCATTGCGCTCTTCACTCCTTGCCCTCCATCTGCGTTCCGCGCGTCAATACAGTCACGTGACTGCAAACCACCTATAGGCACAGTCCTCCGTCTGCACCAGTCTGTCTTGTCTTCAGCACTACACTTCCCATGATCCTCTCGTCTGCACACCTGAACTCACTCCCTCATCAGCCTCCCGTTCAGCGTCCTGTTCATCTGTATCACCTGTCTTCACCTCATTATGTTTGATTCTTTCATGTATTTAGTTCCCTCTGTTTCATTCTGTCTTGGTCGGTCAATGTTGAATGTTACCCGGTGTACCCCGTCTTCCTGCCTGTATTTCTGAATTAAATATATCTTCATTGTGACTCTGGAGTCCTCCAGTTCCTTCTGCCTGCTCCACACCCGTGACAGATTGACCGACCCAAAAAAAATATGGAATTTGCAGCCGTACAACTACTCCTCCTGGAGCAGGAGGATCAATCCCTCGAGGCCCACACACAGAGGTATTTGGACTTGGTGCCTCATGTTCATTTTGATGACACAAGCCTCTGTGTGTTCTTCCGGGCAGGCCTAAACGCTGAAACCCAGGCACGCCTGCCCGGAGATGGGCCTCAAGGGAACTTCGCGGCCTATGTGGAGTGGGTGCTGGTGTCATGTGGATCTTCTTTCACCGTGGACGACGGCACCAGCCCCACTCCAACGCCAGAGACCGTCCAGCCTGCGCCCGAGACCGTCCAGCCAGCGCGAGAGACCGTCCAGCCAGCACCCGAGACCGTCCAGCCAGAGCCCGAGACCGCCCAGCCAGAGCCAGAGCCCGAGACCGTCCAGCCAGAGCCAGAGCCCGAGACCGTCCAGCCAGAGCCAGAGCCCGAGACCGTCCAGCCAGAGCCAGAGCCCGAGACCGTCCAGCCAGAGCCCGAGACCGTCCAGCCAGAGCCCGAGACCAGGATCCCACCCAGCCTCCCTCTCCCACCTCCTCCCGTCATGCATCCGTCAGCCCTTCTGTCTACTAGCTCCCCTGACCCAGCCTGGTCATGGGATACCCGGTTTTCGCCTCCCACCTCCTCCACATGGACACTTCCTCGGCCCCCGGTCCCATTGGCCCTCCCGTTCAGCGTCCTGTTCATCTGTATCACCTTTCTTCACCTCATTATGTTTGATTCTTCCATGTATTTAGTTCCCTCTGTTTCATTCTGTCTTGGTCAGTCAATGTTGAATGTTATCCGGTGTACCCCGTCTTCCTGCCTGTATTTCTGAATTAAATATATCTTCATTGTGACTCTGGAGTCCTCCAGTTCCTTCTGCCTGCTCCACACCCGTGACACCTATTGTGTATGTCTCCCTTATTTAACACACCTGATTCAGATCCTCAGCTCATTAGGATAGCCATAGAGTCTGGCACGTCAGCATTTTATCTTTGTCTAAATAAAGAATATTTTTGTATTTTTCCCTATCCACGTCTCAGAGTCTTTATGTAAGGGAGACACCGAACCTGTGTGTCTTTAATAGGACACTTCCCTGGCTTAGCAACCAGGGTGGCATAGTCGATTTTTCTTTCTGTCTCTCTCTCTTACTCTCTATCCTCTCTCTCTTGTACTGCCCGCCACATTTGGCGTAGTCGGCAGGGTTTCCTTTTTTTAGATCTGAGGCG